GTGTGTGTGTGTGTGTGTGTGTGTGTGTGTGTGTGTGTGTGTGTGTTGATGAGCTGTAGCTTAAATTAACTTTCGAGCTCTATAAATTGACCAATTGAGAAAAAATTTGAGAGAACTGCAAAGATTTTGTTTTATTTTGTCTATTTTGTTGATTAAATTTAGATATTTACAAGAATAAGACTTTGTTCAGTTCCTCTTTGCAGTGCATTTATTTATTTTTATTTCTTTTAGAATAAAAATGAATTTATTATCAAAAATCATATAGAACTTAAAGATTTGTGCAAATTTGATAACAACAAAATGAACAAAAAAAATTGCTTTGCTTTAACGGATCAAATGTTATCTTTGCATTTGAAAATTAATTTCACACTTGAAGTGAATTGAATTTCGCGTGCACTTACACGCTTAATTAATTTATGTTAAGTGAAACTCGTGTCTACTTATAGGAATTATTTGAGGAATCTGCTTGATCATTAAGAAAACAATCAGGCAATTAGTAAGTTATCCATCTGCTCAAGCACATATCCATATTTACTGATATATCCATCAATATATACCTATCTACTTGTCCTTTCTCATCAAAGAAAAATAATTTATTAATAAAAGTTGTGAGTGCAAAATGAATAAATTATGCATACAAATGTATTTCTTTTGTCACACTTAATCTCATTTAGGTTTATTGATACTTGGATATCAAATTTTTAAAAAAAAAAATAGTGCACCCAAAATTAATTCTCAAAGTTAGCTAAAATATTTGCAAAAACTGATTCACTCAATAAATTGGATAGTTTATTATCTCAATTTTAATACAATTTTATGGATTATAAAAATAGTTTTAGACATTTAAAAAGGATATTTTCAAACACAAAATGATTATCTAATAAATTGTTTTGGAAACGATTTGAGTAATAAAAAAAATCATAACAATCTAATGCTGAAACTAATTTGTACATGAATAATGATATAATAACGTTTGAAAAGTATTTTGTGGATGATCGTTACTGGTAATTGCGATCTAGTAGCTAATCAGTAATAAAATTCATAAATATCCACAGTAAAATGATTTGTATAGAACTGACAATTATGAATAATAATTATCTCCTAAAATTTAATCATATAATGTCTAATCTCAAACATAATCTCCTTTAATTCATAAAATATGAGTAAACAAACTTCTTCTAGCAATAATGTTAGAAGCCATTAGAGTGACCTTTAAGGTCAATATTATTTTTATCATATACAGTACTAAAATTATTGTACATCAAAAGTTTCATTGCAATATTCAATCATATCTGATCGTATTTTCATAAACTAAATTATTATAAAACCAAAAAATATATGTACGCTCGAGAATGTCGCAAAGAGAAGAGGCTAAAATTTAGTATTAAAATTAGTGCGATTATATTTACTGCAGTGTTTGGTATGAGTGGTACTCATATACTTTGTCTTTTTAGTATGACTTTCCTATTTTTTTACACATCGCGAATTATGTTGCGAATTTTCCTGACTTTTAAGCTTTCATACTACTTTTTAGATCCTCGGTAAGCAAATCCTAAAAATGTACAAATCTACAAGTGGTCAGCAAGACTGAAAACATGTTGGTGGTCAGAGATTTTAGCGTTTTCATTTATAGTAAGATTGTGCGGCCCATTATTATCTGACACTCTCGAAATTGTTCATCAGGAGTGTTATGGTTGTGAGAAATACCGTACTACCGTAGTTCTTAATATATACAGCATTTGAGAGCTAATCATTCTGAAATTTCAATGTCTTGCTTATGTGCTTCTTTCATACATGTCCGTATTACGGTTTTAGATTTTGTAGGTTTAGTTACGGTTGTTATGTTTTATACAGTAGTTATGCTATGCAAGGTTGTGCTATATTATTAACGATTTAATACTGGAAAATGTTGATCAGTTTTTATTTTATTGGCTAAAATGCAAAGGTCGATATTAAACTTAGTAACTGTTATTCCAGTGAGTTGGTGGTACTGTAAATACTTTATGAAATTGATAATGTGCACAACGTTTAGAAAGGATTTTTATCACAGCACTTCTTTTTAAAAAAAATCAAACGTATGCATCAGATTTTTTAACGAGTTATACTCTTTCAGGATCTGTGTTTTCCGTGAACAGGTTGACACATTATCATATCATATTTGATCTGAGAATGTTCTAACTTTCATGTATTGTTTCAGGTGGAATGTTACTTTAGTATAAGTAACATCTCGAAATCACTGTTTACTTTGCACAAAATGTTGACAGTTCATTGAGCATAGTTTATGAATTTCATCTATGGACCATTTTCGTTTATTGCTTTACAAAGAATTCATTGTAATTTGGCGAAGTAAAGTATGGAGTCTTATCGAGTTGGCAACTCCTTTGCTCTTATCTGTTCCGCTTATAATTCTCATTCTTCAGGTTAATCATTCTTTGTAAAATGTAATTAGGAAAAATCTAACAATGAATTATTTTGGAACTGAAAATGGTGTCACATAGTAAATAATGTAATATCACAATCTGAACTTTATGTAATGTTTCATATGAATCTAGCAGGCTGAACATTAATGTTATAATGACTTCATTGGTAGTTATATATATGAAATTAGTCAAATTTACTCAAAATGACCAAGAAAAACCTTCAGTAGAACGTTTCAGAATTCATCAGAAGTCAAACATGAAGCAGAATTCTGGGATTCATTTCGGGTAACTGGAGATTGGAGGGATGTTGATCGTCGTATTGGTAAAATCAAATCAATCTATAATTATTGTGGAATGACCACTTGGAGAAATTTGGGACTTGTTTTCCCGTGCGCACCTAATAAATTATTTAGAATTACATATTTTAAGACTTTGATTTCTTGCATGCATTTTTTTGTTGTTGCATGTTTACATATTATAGTGCATGTTTACATATTTTAGTAGCTGTCGAGAACTGTTATACCTTCTACATTATTTGGCATATAATCTTTAGGACTGGAATGGATGTAGATGAAAGTCTGCGAATAGCTCGCGAAATAGAATCTCGATATGAAATGCGTGTTTCTTCAATGCACGCACATTCTTTTACTCTTAATGTGACCATATTTAAAACTGAATCAGCTATGATGAAAGCCTTGTTGAACGATTATCATCGTTCACTTCAGTGCACCCAGTACATAGGTGTATATTTTTTAATCACATTTTATTTCATGAATCAGTCGGAAACTATCACTAATCATTTTGGGTTTCGAAGTTTGTTTAATCTAATCTAAAAAGGCAAAACAAGAAAGTTAAAATACTGCATCAAAAGTTTTGTCATGAAATGCAAAAGTTCAATACAGCAGTATTTTAGAGTTGTTTCAAGTAGTTCTACTTTCATCGCACCAAATTTTTGCTTAATAAGTTTTGCAAACTGTTATTTTCTAGCTGGTGTGGTATTTAATGAATTCAACAGAAGCATATCACGCCTTTCTTATACACTACGAGTGCGTCAGACAGAGGACCCACAAACTCATTGGTATGTTGGTAATGAAATTTGGGAAAGTGGAGGACCTTATGAAGTCTTATCTGATCAATTTCCTGTAAATTTGATACCAAATTATTGGTCGATGGGTATATTATCCTTGCAGTATGCCATCGATGTTGTATTTCTTAAAGTATGTGTGTCGTTTTAATCATTATTTGGCATATAATCTATATGTAAGACAAAAGAATCAACTTGATGCTCTTTGTCTTGTCTTATAAGTCAAGTTTTACAGTGAAGTATATGTGAATGTGACGTTAAAATTTATGATTCAGAAATGAGTTTCAGATCTTTTTATTTTGAAAGTTTTTTTTAATGACATAATTTAGCCACTTTCAATAAAAATGTTTGATTTTGTTAATTTGCTTTGTGATCTGTTCCTGCTACAATTCATAACAGCCTATTGTTGATTATTATGACTTATAGATAATTGATGAAGAAAAATACAATGACGCTGAATTTGAATTCAGTTTGGAGCGTATGCCAGAACCCGCATATTTTGAGAAAGCAGTAGTGGGATTCTTCACGTTTTTGATCATATTTTGGCAATTGTTTTCGTTGCCTTCAGTCTTACACACTGTAACAAATATTACTTCTGAAAAGCAGAGTGGTATGAAGGCAAGATTTAGAAATTTTTACTAGTGCATTATCTAGTTTTCGCTGAAATATTTCAAATATGATTGCATATTTGAAAAATAAAAATGATTAATTCTTTTAATTTTGTCCCCCATTTTAAATTAGAAAGCAAGAAGAGAAAATTATTTGTTTGAACAGTAATACCTAGCAAAAAGATTTCAGTATCAAAAATTTCTCTTTTTTAGCTGTCAAGTCGTCAGTACTTTTTTAAAACTACTGTCGTTTAACAACTTTGCTTTAATGATAATCTACTGTAAAGCCTTTTTTCAACATTAACTTTTCAGGCCTTTTTAAATGTAATGGGAATGCAGTCTTCAACATTTTATGCCGCACATGCAACAATTAGTTTTGTCAAACTTATGATAGTTTTGCTTACGACTACGATTATGTTGTTACCATTAATTCAGGTTCTTATCCTACAAAGTTTCTTCAGTTTTCAATCTCCTCTTATTTTTTTCATCAACAAGTTTCAGTTGACAGCTGTTAAATTAATTACAGACTGTTAACTCATCAAGTTTAATTACTGAGTTACTCAAAACTAGCTGTATCTTCTCTGCCGTATCATCGAAAACCAGACCGTAAATTAATGAAGACTTAATATTTGCTAGTTCTGATTAACTCTATAATTGAACTTAGTGAGTTAATAATGTCTTTTTTTGCAAACGTTTGAGTTTGTGAAGTTTCTTACAGTTCTTGGTCTGTAACTCTTGTTAAAGTCGCTTTATTGGACCGGACTTCTATAAGAAGTTTTTGGTGTCAGAAAATTTTGCACAATTTTCGTTTCTGAATAAATAGGTTTTGCCATGTATTCAGACAGTATCTCCGTTTTTGTTAATTTGCACAAATGTAATTTATGGTGCTAGTGCAGTAGCGTTCTCTTTATTAATGTCAAGTATTTTCCACACCTCTGGTGCTGCAACAAAAGCAACGGTCGTAATTTGGCTTGCGTTTATAGGTGAGTTACTTTTTGTTATTGATACTACTATTCAATCTTTTTTGTCAAACGTTAATTTTCTAATAGTATTTTGCAGCATTAACCAAATTTCGGGCCACTGAAGAATCAATTTTCTTAAACACTTTGCTTTCACTTAATCTGAATTATGCATATACATTAGCCCTTCACGCTATTCAGGACTATATGAATCGAGGTCATCTTGTTTTTCTCTTACTTGTTCATCTTTTTTTCTCCTTTTCTTCCTTTTTCGCCATGTTTTATGCTTTTTATGAATTAATCAGTTTCTTATAGTCAGGCGTTACAAACTTAAAAAAAGCGAAATACTTTTTTCAGAAGCATCAGGAGTTAAGTAACCAATATCCAAGTAAAAAAGCTTTTTGTGCATGTAATTTTTCCAGATCAGTCACTAACTTTCTACAATATGTTTGAGAATGCTAACTATATGTATCCGTTTGGCGCCGCGCTGATAATGATGATTTTCAATGTAGTGTGGATGTCATTATTGGCAATTTATTTGGATCATGTTTATCCATACGGTGATTTACCACGAAAGCACTGGTTTTTCTTTATGAATGTAAGTTTCTATTCCGGAGCAGTCTAATTTTTTGAAATTCTCTCTTTTTACATTTAGAATCACGTGTATCTAAGCAAAATGTTTAGAAGTAGCTAAGTAACTATTCGAACATTTGTGTTCTCCAGACATTTAAGGTTTAAATTATAAAATTTTTCTTATTAAAATTATTCGTGCAGGTTTCATAGATCTAAGTATTAAAAATTACAGTACAACTCTTAGTTAATTCATCAGATTTTCATTTATACAAGTTACCTTGACTGTATGCATTACATTGATATTTTAAAAAAAATTCATCTAGCATGAATCGGAATACCTTTATGTTTATTTCAGCGATCAAGTAATGAAGATCTGCAGTTTGCTTGTGATGACGAACTTGATGCGCCAAACAGTAATATTCAGGTTCATGAAGGTAGCGACCAAGCTGATATTGATATACGCCGTTTGACAAAAACTTATAAAATCCAGCCAGCAGTGAATAGAATGTCTTTTCGTGCCTATCGAGGAGAGGTATTTGTGCAGTCGTTTGTATTTTTGATCATTTCATGTTCACAAATTAATCATTTCAGGTACTAAATTTATATGGCAAATTTTCTGACTCATTTTTTTTAATGCTCATGCCTGATGGAGTTTTTTTTTTTCAAGTTTTGTCTTAATTTATTGAAATTGGCATAATTGTTCATTCCAACTTGTTATAGTAAGAAACCGGATACCGGAATTTTCGTACTTTAGATAACTGTTCTTTTGGGACACAATGGTGCAGGAAAAAGTACAACATTTTCAATGATTACGGGCATTATTAAACCTACATCTGGCTCTATTTACATTTGTGGTAACAAAATGGATTCGCGTTCGCTTGTTGATTGTCAGCAAGAAATCGGTTTCTGTCCCCAGTACAATGCATTGTTCAGTTTGTTGACGGTACGCGAACATTTGGAAATTTTCTGCAAACTTAGTGGTAACACAGTTAATTGTGTTGACGACATGTTAGCAGATATACAAATGGGAAATGCAGCAGATGTGGTAAATTTTATTTCTGCTATTTCAGTGAGGAAACATCAGGCATAACATCAGGCATAATTTTATGTCAATTTCATGGTATGAAACAAGATCAAGTAATAAATAATATTGTGATGAGCTGTTCGATTAGGAATTTAGAATGTTCTCAAAAAAGACTTAATGAAATGAAAAGTTATTATGAGGTTTTTCTTAATACTATTTAAGATTGCTGAAAAACTCAGTGGTGGAATGAAGAGGAAATTGTGCGTTGGAATATCTTTAATTGGTGGACGTCGTATTGTACTGCTAGATGAACCTACTGCTGGTATGGATCCATCTTCTAGATTAGCCATTCTTCGACTTCTTCAGCGATGTAAAAAGGAAAGGTGATATTTTTTTATTTCTTCAATGTTTTAGCTTAATTTTGTAGTTATTAGCAATTCGATTCTTAATGTTAATAGTAAAAGTTCATAACTTACTATGATATTCTTTTTGGTCTTCACATAATGCTGTTTAAATTGTCCTCAAAAAATCGGTCACTTCACGAATTTTATTTGTTCTTCTAATTTATTCTTTGTTTATTTGCACATTTGATTATATAACATATTTTACTCATGCACCATTATATCAATTTCCAATGTATCTAACGATATTAATTTTCTCTACTAATCGCTACATTGCTTGTATATTTCTTAATTGGTATACGTTTGCAGAACAATGCTTCTGACAACCCACTGCATGGATGAAGCAGATTCCCTTGGTGATCGAATAGCAATAATGGTGGAAGGCCGTCTGGTTTGCGCTGGTTCTCCAGGCTTTTTAAAAAGCCGTTTCGGAACAGGATATTTGATGTCGATTGATTTAATGGTCAGTTAAATTAATGGTATTGACTCATTTACAGTATGCAGAGCCAGAGTTTCTTTATGCATTCATAAAATATCACGACTTTTTTATTTTGTCGATCACATCATTTTATTCCATTTATTTAAAATTTGACCAATGCACCTTCATTGGAGCCTGTAATATATACAGGATGAAATTCCTCTTCTAATGATGTACGATAATCTAAGCTTATTTGCTTATATTTTAGCCCCATACTGTAGCATCTTCATTTGCTAATCAGAAGGAAAATATCATGTCTGCTATCAGAGCATATGTACCCGAGGCTCGGCTTCAGTCAGCAACTCCTCAGCAAATTACTGTTCTTTTACCCGCTAACAGCAAAAATAGGTTTGCTGTACTATTCTCACTTAGCTTGCTTATTTTTCTGCTTTTTCTTTTCATTCAGTTTTTTTCTCATTGTATCAAAGAAACAGTAATACTGTAGTATCATAGCTACGAATTTCCATCATGGTATGTTGACTGATAGTTGATAATCCAAAATTATAAAACTTGAAAGCAAGTAATTCATTCATTTTTGCAATTGTATTTTAATTCCCTTTTAGCTTTTGTGATTTATTTGCACGACTGGAAAAAGTTGCTCAAAGATATGGTATTAACTCATTTGGTTTATCGTTGAACACATTGGAACAAGTGTTTCTGAAGTAATATTTTTTCACTTATTGAGTTTAGTTTTCGACTTTCCATGCTGCATCTTGCTACTTTTAGAGTTGGAGAATTGAAAGAGATGGTTTCAACAAATGCCATTGAGATGGAAAATATTACAGAAGACCAAGCGTCAGTTCTTTGCAGTCATTCATGTTAGTTAACGACTATTACACTCCTTATAATTTAAATACATTTTTTCTATCAAGGTTTATTGTGAATATGAAATTTAAGGCACATATAATCTTCATGATTTGAATATGCGGAGTGAGTGATATGCAAAATTTGTGTTGTATTCTCAGTTATGAATATATTTTGAAATGTAAAATTTCAATTTCGTAATCAGAAGTTGAGTAAATGCTGAATTTTTGCAATGAAAACGAAAGAAAACGTGTAAATAATTTGAAAAGATTTGTATTTTTTTTGAAATTTTGAGTTATTCACAATTTTTCTATTTAGTTACTCAGACAGGATTTATGCTTTGGCTTCAGCAGATAAGTGCACTGGTTAATAAACGTTTCATTTGTTATCGTCGGCAGTGGCCTCGACTAATATGGCAAATTTTCCTTCCAACAGTCTTATTGTTATTTGTTATTTTGTATATGAGGCAATCACCTGCTCGCGAAGACAAAAGAAATGGTTTGCTTATATCCAGAAGTTACTTGAAAATTTTCTTCCGTATTATTATTATTATTATTTAGATCAATAATGTGCTATGAAAGTTAAAATAACTAAGAATTATGTGCCAGATATAATCTACTGCTGTGATAAAGGAGATTTTAATTTTCAGAAATTGTGCTGAACGCTGGACGTATTAGTCCATCTATTGTATTGATAAAATCAGAGGAACCAAGATTGCCATTTGTTCAGAATCTCCTTCAAATTATAGAGAACATGAAAGACCATTCGTATAAGTTTGTTCCACCGAAAGAAAATTTGATGCAGTATCTTGCTGTAATACCGAAGGTGATTACCTTTCATGCTTTGATGTCGATGAGTTATAGTGATAAGAAGACTAATTTGAGAAATTATTTTGTCACTGATGATTACAATTAAAAATTTGTATTTCACATAAAATCTGATGATGACTGCTGTAATTGTTATGTTTAGATTCCACCACCTGTAAGTGTAGCTGTATCAAGCAGATTAACAAGTAATCGTATTATTGTCAATGCATTTTTCAATGCGAAAGCGAGATACGGTCCAGTTATCGCAACAACTTTGGTTAATAATGCCAGATTGGGTTATCATGCAGGTGATTTTTTAAGTGCGTAGACTTGCTGATCCATTTAGACGCATAATGCATAGCCAGAAATTGCTAATGACTTTTACTTTTATATCTTTTCATCTTCGTAACTGTGTTAAATTTTTTGGAACTATTTTAGATTCAATTCAAATTTCTCTACATTCATACGGTAATGTAAGCAGTGTCAATCCCTTTTTATCGTTGAATTCCCAAATGTTTTTGATTGCGCCTGTTTTAATTATTAGCTTTGCGTTTGTTTCCTGTGGTTTCGTTACTTATATTGTCGACGACTTTAGTACGAATTTTCTGCATCAGGTTTCTTCGCAGTATTATTTTATTTATGACTTTATTGTTTCTTTTAATAATGAAGTAGTATTGAAGATTTTTCTTTAAGTAGTAATTACTTGTTTTTCAGTTTTTCATGCTCCAATTTTTTTCAGCAACTCCGAGCTAGATTGAGCGCATTTACTTATTGGATGTCTGTAGTGGTTTCGGATTTACTGCTCTATACGTTTATCTGTATCATTTTCAGTATTATTTTGGGTGTGTGGATGAATAACTTGAAGCCTGAGTAAGTTTGTAATCTCTATTTGTACTTCGATTATATATGAAAACCATTAAATGAGTGAAAAGTTGATCATTAATTCACTCGCAATTGTCAAGATCTTTTATCTGTGTGCTACAGTTTTTGGGTTCAGTCTCAAGAAAAAAAACGATTCATTTATATATTTAATACAATTCTGATTTTTCGTAATATAGAAGAAATGAAGATGTTTGAATCGGCAAAGTGAGTTTCTGGTTTGTTATTGAACTAAATATTTTAAGTACATAATTTTAGTCTGGTGTTTCTCTGGTTGATATATTTGTGGCCATCTATGCCGTTTGTTTACATCATGGCTTTTCTTATTAAAAATCCAGCACGAGCTTATGTGGTCTTGATAATCTTAACTTTGGTTGTTGCTCTATGCGCAAGTATCATATCTTACGTCGTTATGTCTATGAAGCCGAAGTTCTACCCTTATTTACATGTATCTGGCTTCACTTTTCCGAATTTTTAATTTATTTTTTTGTACATTGGACCTCAAAAATAGCGCATCTATTAATGAAAAGCTGCTCTATACTGGTCATGTAATTATCATGTTTCCACCGATAGTAAGATGGAAGATACATTAGATAAATATGCCTTCAAGCTTGACTAAGAGGGCATACAAAAATCTTATCAATTTGTCAAGATCAGATGCAGTTTTCTTTTTTGCGAACTTTTGTTTACTTTTAGACTGGATTATTATTCACGCTTCCAACATATGCTATGTCGTTTAGTTTGATTCAGATTTTGGTGGCTAACGTCAATGGGGATGCACATGATATGTATAGCTGGGAGGTACTAATTTTTTAAAAGAGTTTCTGACAAGTTTTGTAAGAATTAACTCTTTTACTTTGGATACTACAAAACAAATTGTAGTAAGTCGAACTCTTTTAAACTCTCTAATTTATTTTTAATGATAGAAATTTTGAAATACTTTGAAAATTTGCGAATATTTCTTGAATAGTCGCTCACTAGGAAGTAAACAAATGAACTGATAATTTGCAAAATCTATATAACATTTGGAATAGAAATTCTTAGTAACTTTGCTATACAAATTTTAGAGAAATTAAATAAACAAAAAATTAAAAATTTATATATCGCATAATAAAGTGTCACTTTTTTTTAATATGCATAATTTTTTAATGAAAATCTTTACATTTTTTAGAATCTTGGACGTGTTTATGCTATAATGACTTGCTCAGGCTTATTGTTTTGGATCATTTTGTCCATGATCAACTCCAGAGTTTTAAGAGTTTATATGCATGGTTTATGCTCAGTCGTGCGTAAGACATCTTCAAACACATTATTGGTTAGAACTTATCATTTATTGTTTAGGCATTTATTTGTTTAACTTATTATCATTATTGTTAATGATTTTTTTTCAACCAGTCATGGTAGAAAATTTTCAATTACTTGCACTTATTTAAAAGCAAAATAAAGATCAAATATTTTTCCTCGTCATATGAAAGCATAATCATTTAATTTTAAAAAATGCGTTAGTAACAGTTCTATTTTTTTCTTTGGACCACTTTATCCATTTCACTAGTCTTTGAAGCAATCACTTTTGTCAAAAGTAATGGTGAATTTGTAAAGTGATTTCTTACTAAATAGAACTATCGAAAGAGTGGTTAAAAAAGAAAAGAAAAAAAAGAAACAGACGAAACAAAAAAAATAGAAGGCGCTCTTTCTAAGAAACCAGTGTTTGTTAACAAAAGATGGTTAACTAAGTGAATATTTATACACCAATACCTAGTTAACTATGATCTTATATAAGTAAACAAGACACGTTTTGCAATACATTGAGACATTTCGGCATGAAAATTATAGGATATTGATGTGAAGAATGAAAAAGAGCGTGTATTAACCAAAAAAAAGACAGAACTATCGCTAGCTGTACATAATTTGAACAAATATTATGGAAATGTTCATGCAGTGCGCGATCTTACTTTTGGTATCAACCATGGTGAATGCTTTGGGTTGTTAGGTTAGTTCATTATTTTTCACTGTCATTTATTATTTTAGAGGTGATAACAAAATTAACAGTTTATATTTCCAGTAAAACAAACATAATATGTATAGAGGGTAGAAGGAAGAAACAGTAGTAATTATAAATAGTGATTTCTTATTTATATGACAGGCTCAATTTTCATGTAAGTTTTTAATAATAACAATTTGAAGAATTCACAAAACTTATAGGAGTGAATGGTGCTGGCAAAACAACTACATTTGATATGCTAACTGGTATGTCTATACCAGACAGCGGAGAAGCTTTTATCAATGGCCGTTCTATCTTAAAAAAACAGGTATTTCTTAAGTATCGTTTTACTTTAAACTTCGGAGTTTGCTTACTTATATACACTGTCGCAATGTTTCGCATTTTTATATTTTAATACATTACATTTATTGATACGCTTTGTTTTCAAAATTTGTTTCATTCAGACTATTGGATTTTGTCCTCAGTTCGATGCACTCCACCCAAAGCTTACAGCTAGAGAAACGTTGCGGTTGCTATCGTCTCTCCATGGTTTTTTGAATTCTGAAAAACGTGTAAAAACTACTTTAGAAGCAGTATCTCTAATCACAAACGCAGATGTTTGCACTGAATGTCTTAGGTAATAATAATCAGGTTTATCTTGAAAGATATGACGTCAGTTTGAATCATTTAATTGTAATATATGGATTACCAACAGTAATGTCCAGTAATAGTTAAATTGATGTTGATTTTGAATTATTTCCTTTCTTATCAACTGTATATAAATCACAAAACTAGAATGCATTATGTTCCATATCTTAAAGTCTTATTGAAGTTATTGTTATGTTTAGCGGGGGACAGCGTCGCAGATTGAATTTAGCAATAGCATTGATTGCGCGAACTGATTTAATATTATTGGACGAACCAACAGCTGGTGTAGATCCAAAAGCAAGACGCCAGATTTGGTGCTTGTTGAATGCGGTGCGCGAAAATCGGCGATCGATACTTCTTACGTCTCATAGTATGACTGAATGTGAAGCACTATGCAGTCGTATTGGTATAATGGATCAAGGCAGTTTAATTGCTATTGGAACACCACAGCACATCAAGACTAGGTAAAAGATTGTAGAAGAACCATAGCTAAAAATGATTTGACCGTGATCAAAACCTAGCGTTCATTTGTTGGTTTCAGATTATTCCCTCATTATTTTCGAAAATCTTGTTGATATCTCAATCATTTTCGGTTCAGATTTGGAGAAAAATATACATTGAGCATTACCGTTCTTAATAAGTGTGAGCTAGATGATTTGATTCATGCGGTGGAGAAAATTTTTCCTGGTTCCAGTCTAAGCAGTATTGATGTCACATGCTTGACATGGGATATTCCGAAGCAAGAATTCAAAAAGTAAGTGAATATTGTATTTTGTTTCCCATATAATTAATATTCAATGATTAAATGGAAACATTAATATTTAAAGGTAATTTATTGACATGTTGATGAATCTTAGGCATTTAAGATTTTTCAAAGAAATTTTGTTGTTACAAATTATAAATCAAAAAAAACAAACTAAGATTTAGTTGTAATAAAGAAAGCTAAATTCGAGAATATGACATCTTGCCTTTCTACAGTTCTCTTTATATAGGTGGTCAGAAATGTATGCAAAGATGAATCAACTTGCGAAGCAATTTCCTTCTATTGTTGATTATTCGCTAACACAAGCGACATTGGAAAAGGCCTTTTTACATCTCTCACGTTGTGAAAAATAATTATTCGCAAGAATGAATCTCATTAAGACATATCAGTTCATAGCTTGATAATATTTTTGCTTATGCATATCCTCTAATAATTTATCTAATATATGTTTCGATTATTCATTACTAAAATTTTGTGTTAATCCTATCAAAATCTAATCCTTGCATTGGATTATTTTGGTAATTTAAATGAAATCTTATTATTTTTGTTTAGGTTCAGTAATCATTTCATATTTAACCAGTTATGATTTCAGTAAAATATTTTTTTGAGCTGAAAACGATGCGACAAATATCTTTGTTCCTTGTACAGTTTTGTATTGTAACATAAAAGTTTAGGCATCTCATTTATATATATATATATAAATTAATATCACACGGAGGTTATTCTTTTCATTATTTATTGTGGTGCTGGATCATATTCTGGCATTCTTACTGCATCCGCTCTGTGCTTAGTTCTGCTGTGCTGATCTCCGCTGCTTATTCTCGTCGAATCCATGGCGCTGATCAGTGAAATGCTTTGGAGTGTTTTGACGTGATCTGATGCACTGATTTCCGTCGCGTAATATTTATGGAAGTTCCTCATTATCCCATCCTAAGTCATCACATATAGAATTATTTTCGTCCTGCATTTCATCTCTGTCTCGAGATTATTATAGCCAGTAAATTGGACTTTCGCTTCTTTTCAGCCTCAACTGCTATCAACTTTTCCTGATGCCAGCCTCTATTCAGAGTACTCCGCGTTGCTTCTTATCATTACAAGACTGGACTTTTTTTCAGAATGGAAACTAAGCAGATTCGATTTCGATCCATTCATATATACATAAGTATCCTAGAATTTCGATGAAGTGAGACTAAATATGGTTTGATCTCACTGAAATGTGTTTAGATCGTTATTCTTTCAAAATAAGTACAATTATGATACAATTATCATTATAAGGCTCAATAGCCTTATAATTGAGTCTGACATCGGGTTATTGAGAAGAACTGGGCTTTTTCTAATAATGAGTTAGATATTAATGGATTTGTAGGTATAACTGAAATTTGTACAAATTTTCATCAAATGGAAGGTGCAGTTTGTTATTTTATCATACTACGCTAAATAAACAATCAAACATAATGGCTGTACTTATCGATGAAATTTTTTTCACAAATTTGTGAAGAGGAAATTCAACATTAGTAGCATCTACTATTTCTACAGTGAGGTCATCAGGGTCGTGACGATGGAGATAGAAATGTTAGATTGTAATATTTCTTCGGTATGAAGTTACGATCGTTTTGAAAACGAAAATGTTAGGTGCAAATGTGGCGAGAGTGTCTTTGGCTGACGAACTTTTATCTCTCGGTTTTTGCTTTGAACAGTAAGACTTGGTACTCGAGTGTAGGGTTTTACTTGGAAATTTTTTCAAGAAACCCTAATAATCTTTTGATAGCTACAGATTGCTACTTTTGCGTCACGTGAAACTGAATTTCTTAATAGCACGGCAAGAGTTTTCTCAATAATTTATTTCTAGTGGTCTAAACCTTTTATACTAGGGCCCTGTTTATAATATCGAGTATTTATGCGATGAATATGTGTTTACGGCACAGAAAGTGACCGAACACTTGCTTACTTTTTTTAACGTGCTGATTGGAACGGAGTAATTGCACAGAGAGTTGTAGAGTCTGGAACTATGTTTCATAACGAGATTTTATTTGGTTTGAACAATCTGCTTCAGTTTTGAATTTCATTTCAGTTTTGTTGGTATCTAACCTTTGTTTTGATTATTTATACTCGAAGTTCAATTTCTTGAGTTAAGGAGTGAGGAATTGAATGTTGAATATTGTTATTAAAAAGTATGTAATTGAATCATTGTTGGAAAATCAGTATTTTCTAGTTGATATGATGTCGAGGGCGATATTTCTGTAAATAAGCTTAACAGTTTATACTTTTCCGAAACTATTGAGAATATCAGATCTCTCATAAACAAAAATTGTGATGTGTCATTTTGTTTTTTCATTTTTTGTGCATTATGTAAATTTCCAAACATTTAAAATTATTCTATTTAGCAGTAGAATATGGTTCACTTGAAACGAACAAGAGAAGATCGTGAAAAGGAAGATCGTTTGGCAAAGAAGCTTTTCGGTGACAAAGCTGGGTTTCCAGATAGTTCTGTAAGCAGTGATGATGATGGAAATGAAATTTACCTTGAAACTGAGGTTTGTGAAAGTTTTTTATTTATAAAAATAAAGCAGTCAGATTTTATAAATATTTGTTTCTTGGTTTCTCCGAGCTACATAAATTCTGTTACATAAATTGAATTCAAACTCACATTCTATTTGTCGCGTTTGATATCATTAAGTTTAAATTGTAGGTTTCTAATGCTTTCATGCTTATAAAATTAATCATTAGATGATGAATGCTTTTGAACTTTGAAAAGTGAAGAAAACATATGTAAGGAGCATTATTTTTTGATGATTCTTGTAAAAATTGTATTGGCCTTTTATTAATATGGACATTCATTTTATTGTGTTTCAGAAAGAAGTGAGGAAAACACCAGTGTGGCGGGATGAAGATGATGAAGTCGAAGAACCAGTTGTAGATGTACCATTACATCGTAGAAAAATGCATATTAGAAAGTCTACTGATGCTAAGGATCAGAAGATAACTCCCAAGGTTTTGAATTCCTGTATACAACTTGTTTTTTAGATCAAAAAGTCATTAAACTGCACTTTTTTAGGAATATGAACAACGGTTAAAGAAATATTTCAGTCGGAATTCCGGTCTTGGTCCAGCTTGGGCTCAGACATCGACAGGCTTGTTTTATAAAACCTATTTAAAGTTTCCCATCTCAGTTTCTGTTTTTTTCTTACATTCTGCAATCTAACAGTCTTTATTTCACTTTCGTGATTTCATTTTAGTCAAGATGAAAATGCAAGATACAGAATCAGATGAGGACGAAGTTGAAAGTATATTACAAGAAATGACTGCTGTAACGAGAAGGTGCATCACCAAGAGCAGTTTATTACCGAAAGGTGTAATAAATGTTAAGCGATTAAATAACATCACACTTGGACATCGATTCGGAAAAGTCTCTTTTCTAACTTATTGTTTTTAGTCCATTACTAATCATTCAGAATATAGCATTTGTTCTTAAGCTGAAAACAGATTACAAAAAAATATGGAAAAGACCATTTTTTGTGAATAACTATGTTTTTCTAAAATTTTACTTTAATTATTATACTTTTAAATTTTACTTTTTTATTCCAAAATTTTACTGTTCATTGTTAAATGTATAACACCAAGGAGGAACTGGCTTGTATTAGTTATAAGTAATTAAAGTAATCTCACATAGCAAACGTTTTCTTCATCACATTTACTTGCTTGTATTAACTTGTGATTACTTTTTTAATTTGTAATCCTCATGCTGTTTTTCGAGTCAGCTATTCATAACTGTAACTTCCAAAATTTAAGAATTGTTTTTAGCAACCGATAAGAATACTCAAATTTCATCCTAATCGTAAACTACTGATGTGTGGAGGGGAGAATGGACTTTTAGGTCTTTTCGAGGTAGTCTTCCTTTTATTGCATCAGTTTGTACCTTGACTTATTTTTTGAGCAGAATCCTTGAAATAGTTAAAGTTTTTTCAATTTAGATAGATCTTCCCGAGACAAAAGAATCTTTTCTGCAAAGTATACGACTGAAATCATTTCCAATTACTAGCGCTGCTTTCAGTACAGATGGCTTAAAAATTGTTATTGGCTCGCGAAAGAAGGTTTTTAAACTAAAAATGCTTGGAAAATTAATTATTAGAAATTACTGGTAGTACTGTTATCGTTAGCAATTTGTACTTAATCTTGTGTTTTCTGTGTTAAAACTATTTCGTAAGGAGAATTATCATTTACCTAGTTTTTTAGTTTAATTTACAAACTTTTATACAATGTTTTCAGGAATCTCTTTTTTGCTACGATTTGCTTGACGGGAAACTTTTGCAAATGAGAACTCCCTATGGTATGTATCTTATTGTTTTATGATTGGAAGTGGATTGCGATTGATGTGGTATTTTTGAGTACAAGTAAGAATGTCTTATCGAAATAAAGTTTCAGAAATGACAAAAAGTAATGCAGGGTACTTTTCACTTTCTTCGGATGGTAAACTTATCGCTGTTTTGGCGCGCAACGAAGTTCACATTCTAACGTCAATGGTTCCTTTTTAGATTAAATTAGATAAATTTAGCCTTCATTTTATTGTTATATTTAAAACTTTACTTCTTCATAAGCAAGGATTTTTCTTGAAAGCAGATGAACCATTAACGAACTGCAGTTATACAGGAATCAGATTCATATTACTTAGATTTGTGATACTTACTTAAAGATTAAATTATGGAAGTTAGTTACTATATCATAACCTTTTATTTACTATTGAAATAATGATCTGAAGAATTAGATACTATCATGTAAAAGTTGGAGATAAAGAGTAATTTTCAGTCATCCGAATACATTGGAGTTTTGACAGCTCCTACAAGAATTGTTTCTGTTCAGTTCAGTCCAAATGATTCATCAGCTGTTTACGCATTTGGCGGTGAGTTGTACTTTTACTAATAAATTTGTATTCAGTAAAATTTGGAATTATGAAGGACACTTCAACTAGAACTTTTCAGAAAATGGACAAGTTTTCATATGGAGTATTAAAATGCTAAAGGATCAACAGACTTTTTACGATGAGGGTTGTGTGAAAGGAACGGTTATACGAATTAGTGAAAATAGCCAATACATAGGCTGCGGGCAAGTTATTGTCTAAAAACATTATTGGTTCAAAAACATTTATAGTAGAAATATCGTGAAAACTTATTGCTTATCACTCAAAAGATCAATTGATGATCTTATTGAGTCATCAATTGAAGCAGATCTCTCACTTACTTTTGCAATTAAAAAAAATATGACAATAAAACATAATGGTTTGAAGAGTTAGATACTTTCATGTCAAAAGATGAAGGGTAATGTCATAATTGATTTGTCCATAGGTTTATTGAAGCTTATGATCTTTTTTTAAAAACTTTTAAGGAATATAGGAAGCATTAAATACATTATTTGTATGTAAGCATGTTATGTACAGAGTATTTCAGATCAAATACAGGAATCGTCAATTTATATAATATGAGCGATGCTTTGATGAATTCATTCCCCAAACCCTTGAAAGTTTTTGATAATCTCACGACAAGCGTTGATTCTTTGGAATTCAATTTCGACTCCCAAATCCTTTCTTTATCATCCAGTGTTAAAGTACGTTGTGCTCGTAGTTTGTATTAGATGTTTAGTGTGTGGACCGTCTTCGCCCGGAAAGCAATGACAAATGTTAATTTTCAGAACAACGCGATCCGTTTAGCACATGTCGGGAGTCGTACTGTTTATACCAATTTCCCACCAAGAGGTATCAAAGTGGGGAAAGTCACAGTGACAGACTTCTCGCCTAGAAGTGCTTTTATGGCTGTCGGTGATGACAAGGGTTTCGTCTCTCTATTTCGGCTGTCTCACTTCAGTACCTACTAGGTACTCAGTCTGTATTATTATTCGGAGGTTCAAATTAATAGAGTTCCGCTCGAACCAGAAAGAACAAGTCACGGTTCGCATCACTGTTTGCTTTTCTATGGCTCTCGATCATAAAAAGAATGACATACAGTTATTTAATGGACATAAGATTTTTTCGCATCACATTTGTAAACGTTTGGCTTCCATTTCATCAGTAATTTCTTGTTAATTTTGTTGACTACTAGATTTCATAAGTTGACTGAGCTCAAGGCTATTCAGGCACTAAAAACTGTAACATGCGTCTAGTTCATAAACTAAAAAGGAACTAACCAGTGAATGCCCGTACATTAAAAAATTACAACAAATTTTTGGGGTGAATTTTCTCTTAAAGTAAAATACGATAAAAATACAATGCTTTGTTAATACTTGACAACTCCTCTATTGTTACATGACCACAGTATACATCTTCATATCCAACAAGACTTTAAAGATATCACAAATATTGGGCGAAGAGTCAGATTAGTATTCCAAACATCCATGTACCAAATGTGCAGAGACTCGTAGTAAAGCTATGATATCGAACCAAATTGACACAAAATCCGCTTTTCAGAATTATCTGGGCAACTTATTGCAGGCAACAATTTAGATCAAATATTGAGTAGTTAGGGTGCTTGTGTTGAGCAGACAAATTAAAAAATAATCTGTGAGCTCCATTTTCTAATTCTCTGGGCCAACGTATCGCATACTATATTCTCTAAGCAAGGCGAATGAGAATATGAAAATTAAGTAACGGACGGCATTATATTACTGCTCGGACATTATTAAGTTCGACAGAAATGAGGAGTTGAACTGCTCACTATTATTCCAGCCTGGCATAAGTTTATGCCACTCGAATAAATCAAGGATTAAGGGCGAAATAGTAGTCACATAAATTGAGCACATTAAAGATACTGAATACTGATTTACTTGAAACATACAAGGACAGCAAATACTGGAAATAACCAAGTGGTAAAGTTCGACAAGCCGACCTCAAAAACCACGAGAGAGTAAAACTATATGGAAATAACGACTAATTTTAAAAATACGAACAACAATTTGTGGCTGGAGATTTTCATGCCAGCAGTTGATGTAATATTGTAATTTGAAGCTGAGTCAAACCGGCACCACCAATTACAGCATCGAAAAGACTTTTATCTGCCTGAAAAATATTTCGACAAATATATGCAATTTATTTATGCAACTCCAGCGTAACCAAGTGCACATTCTTTTAAAACAGGAAATTAGGTTCCGAAACTCCTGGAAATGCGCACGAAGCCATAACTACACAGATGTTTCAATGCATAAATGCAGAACACTAGGTCAGAATAATATTTGAAGATCCAGGATCTTTCTATCTAATTATTATTAGTCGATCTAAAGTTCTATAAAGAAAACTCTGACAGTAATTAGAAAAATCCACACAGAGAAAAATAAACTAAAGAAACCGAGGCAATCAATTGTTACTACAGGTGACAAAGAACTCTTCCACTCTACCTGTATGAATTTCAAAATATTGATCAAACGCTGTTTAACATTATCGTCATTACCATCATTATCGAAAGCTCCTTTTTCAAAAGCTTCCACGATCACAGTTAACAATCGAGGGAGATTAGAATTATTCTCTCCCAAAACAAAGGGATTATTACTGAAAAACAAGTGAAATTTTTGATGATCCCAAATGTTTTTGGATGGTTTTTTAGGAAAAACTTAACCATTATTCCAAGTTATTCATTATATTATATTAAATAAAAATGAGAACCTTTCAATTAAATCGGCAAAATAACCATAAACATGCGGTGTTTCGTCAGGATCTTCCCAAATTGGCAGCCAGCTCAAAAACGTAGGTATGACCTGTAAAAAACTTGAGAATATGAACGATGCATTAAAATTTTTTTATATAAAATAAAATTAAAAGGCTAGAATTCTATAACAGTTGAACTTTTGGTCATCAAACAATTTTCAACATAGATTATTAAGACATTTTGGGGAGAAATACCACCAGTGGAATCGATTTTTGAAAAAGTCTTCAAGCACAAAGATATCAACAATTTATTTCTTTCGACGTAAAAAATATAAAAAGACTTCTTGAAAATAATTTCACTTCCTTCAAACTAAAAGATCAATTTTGATGGACAGTAACGACGAATAAGAAAACAACATACCGCATTAACATCTACCATCCTTGAATTATATTTGAGAATCTTAGCAACAGCACTTATCGCATTCTCAGTAGCGATGTTTCCTTCTTCAGTGGACCTAGCATCCTCTCTCGAAATCATATTAGCAAGATGTGGTAAAGCACCTAAAAAATATCAGACATATACAAACGAATACTTCTTTGCTTTTGATGTGTGTTTATATATTTTCTGGTGACATTTTTATTAAAATCAAATCCCAGTTTTGATGTTTCAAACAATAAATTACAGTACCAAGAATTACAAAAAATAAATAAATAAATCGTATGCAGGCAAGCTATAGACTCCTGTTCAGAACACTCCACATTTTCAAAAGTCTAAACTCGAGCTAGATTTTTTATCGATGATTTACTCAAAATCCTTAAGTTGTGTATGGTTAAGTCTACATTTAAGAAAATTATCTAATGAGTCATGTTGAAAAATGTTTAATACTCATCATTAAAATCCAAAAATGCTATAAATTATTCCTTCAAAAACCCATTTTCAACTCTTTACTTTTTAAAGCATAATATCCACCAATATCTGCGCCTACAACAAAATTTAGAAAACTGATTATGTTTGGTGGAACTGACCTGCACATGCTTGAGCATAAATATTCCCACCATGCTGTCCCATAACTCCAAAACCATATGCTGCACTTTGACGCACTTCAGGAAATTCGTCAGAAAGTGCAGCTATCATAGGGCCGTAAAAAGATGAATAATATTTTATACTGGCTTCACCACCATATTCAATTAAATCATCAAATACACAAATCGACCACTGTCTTTCACTATAATGTTTTTGTGACTCCAATAATGGAGTGAAATGATCGACCAGTTTTTCAAAATAAGTGAAAAAGCTCGCGCCGTATGCTTTAAAAAGACAGTGGATAATGTCAGAGATGCGAGCCAGTACGCCAATATCTTCTTCTACTTCGTCATCCAATGTATCCGCTGACTCAAAGTCATCATCATCAACAGGACTTTTCTCACGTTCCACTTTTCGATTAGTATATTCCAACATTTGTTGATTGATAATGTTCAGAATTAATTCCAACTGCTCTTGAGTGATTAATGAAGGACCCAATTCGTCAATACACTGCGCTATTCCATGAAGTTGATCGGCGACTACTTCGCGGTCGTGTTCCACATCTATGGCCTCTTTGTAACCTGATATGATCGCACTCCATAGTTGTACTCGAAATTGATCTCCCCTACTGCGGGCACACTCCAATAAGCATGGGAAAATATCAGCGGCTGCGGATCGTACAGCTGTAATATTTAGAGAACCAGTTATCAACTCTTATTACAGTCATTTAAATCTGTAAAATTGCGGACACAATTTATGAAATAAAAATTTGCTGATTCAACCGAAGCAACTAGCAATTTTTCAAATAAGAATAAAAGTATTTGTAACCGTCATGAAACATGAATTTAAGAAGAGGGAGCATCAACTGAGTGACCGGTTCGATATAAGGACTGAAAGCTGACTTGAGTTCGCGAGCATAGCATACAAGCATTTCACATGCAGTAGCTTTATCTTCCAACCCAGTGGTTTTTATGCCTAAATGCCTCAGAAATTTTGTAATTATGAACGACGGTGAACAAAGCTTAGTACAATCCACATAAAATCTTTGAATTTTATAATATTTAGACATAGAAACCAATCAAAAATTGAGCTAACCAAACATCTTTTGATCTCCCAAAGGAATGAAATTCCAATCAGGATCTTCTTCCTGATTAGCCACATCTTCATCGTTCATCAATGTTACATCAGGTTTGACTGCTGCCACTTGCAATACCGAAGGCATTACTAGTGGTAAATAAGGAGCAAACTCTTCACCAAGAACTTTGCATATGCGAGCCCATGCACTTATCATATAAGCTACCTAATCAAATAGATGTTTTTAATCAGAATGAAAGAACAAAAACAAACTCAAGCGTTAAATATAGGGAAAAAACCTCTAAGAGTAAGTAGTCACAAAACGGTAAGCCATCAGAAACAGAACTACGCAAAAAATAAAATTAATTCCAACAAACTTCTGGATCATCGTCTGTCGCTTGTTCCAACTGAACTTGGTTAGCTAACAATATCTGCATAATGTCTTTTGCGTCCTTGCCAAACTAAAAATAAATTACAATATCATGATTTAAAAAAATTGTCATGAAAGTTAAGATGAAAAAAAATAAACCTTTTCCCTTCCTACTGCCAATCCGATGAGCGATATGCACTCGACTGTTTTGCCTCGAAGTGTATTTAGTTCATTGACATTTGAATTTTGCAGGATATATTTCAAGGGAGGCATCAAACTTGAAAAATAAACTTTCAAAATTTTGTTACTGCATGGAGAAAACTAATAATTATTGCTGTTTTTCCCTAGCTGTGTTTTGCTGAGAACTGCAACTTGCAACATTTTCCATATTGTCACTGAAACAGTCTTGCTCTACAAATTAACTGAAATAATACCTGTCGTAAAATGCGACGAAATGATTTTGAGAAGCATCAGCAACAGACGCTATAGTTGTGATCACTTGTTCTAAGACAAGCTTTTTTCCGCGCTCCAAAAGCTTAAAAATATTCAAAAATAACCAAAAGAACATTTTGAAGACAAAAACAATGAATTATGCTGGCACCTGTTTAAAAGTTTGATCAAGAACAAATTCCAATTTCTCCATTATCTGACGGAGATATATAGAGATGATATTCTTTGGACAATCTTCACTAAAATTTACAAGAGCAGCCCCAGCATGAGCGGCAACTCGCGGACAACTTAAGTCAATCAGGCGTGCACATAAACCATTTACAACCTGAAAAACGTTGACATGTATTAAGCTCGCACAACAGCATTGAATATGACTAAACGACATTGGTCAATGCAATAAAATCCAAAGCAATCATCTGCACCTTTTCATGACATTTCTTCTGGAGAGTAGGGGAGAAATCAGTTGACATCTGACCTAAAGCGTTACAAGCTGCATATCGCACACGGGGATGCTAAAACATAGAAACTTTTATTATGAGGAAAGACAAAAAGAACGAAATTTCAAAAACGCACATCTTGGAATATTTCAGATCAAAAATATAAGAAACGCAACTCACAGAATCTTCTAAAAATGGTACGACATTATCAACGATTTCTTCAATAAGTGGTTCCATTTGACGTTTACATCCTTCTCCAACAGTAGAAATGCCCATTATCGCTGCGTGACGGCTTTTCCAATTTTCATCTGAATACTCATGTTAGGCTAAATATTATAATACCAATTAAAGGCTAAAATTTCAGGATAATACAAAGAAACTGAATGCATGTACTAACAAAACACAACAAACCACCTTGCAACATATTTGGCAAAATATGTAAAAATGTATTCAAGATAAATTTTCCACCCAAACTGCATGAGATACGATCTAACGACGATTCCCCAATACCGACAGCACTAAAATTATTAGAAATTAAAAAATTTTAAAACATATATTCTACTCAAATAATTCTAAATCATATGAAAACATACTCTTCTCCACTATCTTCTTCAGCACTATCACAGTTCAACCATTCATCAACGTCATCATCAAGTTCTGTCATGAAATTCAAGCACTGTTTTACTGAAAAATACTCATAATAAGTAAAATTCTCTTATCTTTTTTGAGAAAAGTTTTAAATCGAAATCAAAATTTCTCAAAAATCACTCAATAGATAGCAAATGAGATAAAACTGCTTTAGCTAATTTTAAAGAAATGTAGGAGATTTGAGCATTTCAGTGAAATATAGTGTCAAGTACTGCCTTATTAGTATACGGATAAAAAACTTACAAATCGCGGGAAAAAATGTAGCTGCATTTTTTTTCACCATACCAGAAGCATTTTCACATAAAGAAACTATTACTTCAAGAGCACTATGTCGGTAAGAATCGTCTTTTTCCACATCAGCGGCTGTCTGAAATAAACCACAGACTGATAGAAATGAAGAAAAGAAAATACTAAAAAAGCGAATACGACTATTTCATTACAAAAAATAGAGCTACTTTCAAAAATCAATACCCTAATTTAGTAAATTTGTCTAGAGCACAATTGCCATCAAATAAAATTGTTCACATTACGAGCTAGGATTCTAATTACATGTAATTAATAGACTCACTGATGAAAAGATCAAAGTTAAACTTTCGAGTTATAAATTATGTACTATTGTATAGCTGTTATTAGAATCCTTCATAATTTCAAAATTTGCAATGGACTGATGACTTTTTAGCCCAAATGTAGGTCACAAATACCACCAATTATCATTCGAAAAAGTATGGAAGATAGACGGCAAGATAAATGATATAACCTATCTAGTACACCTCTAACTCCATAATTTACCAAGTAAGAAATAATGACTTTAAACAGAAACTTTATTGGACTTAGATATTTAAAGACCTTGCTGAAATTCGCACTATAATCAAGAATATCTACCACGATTTTCAATTATGAAAATTTAATTTTAATATAGATGTTAAGCATTACCGAAGAACAAAGTGTAAAAACATCACTGAGATATGGTTGTAATGCTTTTGGAACACTAGTAGCAAGATCACCTAAACACTGCAGAGGTACATCATCGTCGTCTTCTGTAGCTACAACATGCTGACAGACCTATAAATTATTGCTTGGCATTTCAAAGTCGAAAACTCATCATATAAAGTAGACATAAGAATTATTTGATTGAGATATTATGAACAAAATACTTGTAAATTACCTGAATAACTGCAGGAATCTGGTCAGAAAGTGATCTGATGACTCTTTTGTCCTCTTCATTGTCACACATAAATGCAACAAATGCACGTACTGCCGCAGTCCTAACTGATCCTTCACTACCATAAAGCAATGAAGACTGAAACATTTGCTTAATTCCCGGAAGATAGCGATCTTGACTGGCGCCAAAAACTGATGGAATATTTCTGAAAACTTTTTACATGAGCTAAATACTATTTCTACACAAAATGAACAATAGCAGTCAATGTAATGAATACTGTGTAAAAAATGCAATAGATTCTAAACGCTACGAAAATGACAGCTTGAAAAGTTTGTAACAATAATTGCTTTGGTAGCTGATACTAATCAAAATTCTTGCAATAACTTCCATATTATCATACATGCTAACAAAAAAAATCAGTGTTTTTGTTTTTTGTATAAATTAGATTACTTTAGGTTAAAATTTTAGGTACGATCAATGATTTAAATTGAAAATTCCACAAACTTACTCAAACAAAATCATGCCTGTTTCGCGCAACGTAGCGTTGTTCGACGACGCACATAACTCCAAAAACTGAATAACACCTGACCAATTTTGGATTCCAGTTTCAGAATCTGAAAATTTGTATCGAAAAGTAGTAAAATGTAAGAAAATCAGTATTAACAAGTGACACAATGTAAAAATAAAGAAATAAAATCAATATACCAATGGTTGAACGCGCAAGTTCAGCGATAACATCAATGACACGTTTTCTCAGTACATGATTCTGCTCTTCAGTAGCTAACTTTAGAAGCTGATCACAAAACTGTTCACGATTTTCTTTGGACCAAGCTGACGACAGTTCGCTCCATTTATTATACAGCAGTCGTCTCATTAGCACTAAACTTAATGACCGTACCTAAAACATCAATAAGCTAGCAACAGCCACAACAAACTAACTAATCAAAGTGTTGAAAAAATTCAGAATTGTTTTCAACAAGGATTTTTTCGTGAAACTCTCGTCAGTTCATTCATACATGCGAAATTTTGCATGGCTGACGTGATAATACTAGTTACATGAAGAAAAGTCAAAAAAAAATTTTTTTTATTCCAAAATTACTAAGTGCAACTTTCTGTTAGAGTAGAAAAAATCTTCAAAATTTAAATTCAATGGAATAATGTCTAATTTCACTACAAATAATTATATTTCAAAAGTTTATTTAAAATTAGATGAAAATCTGCAGATTCATAAAAAGTCGAGATACCTCAACACTGGCAGTTTGATCCATAAACAACTGAAACAAAAACCGAGTTTTTGGTAAAACTTCAATTTGGTCATACTGATATTCTGCTTCTCTCCTTTCTTTATTTTCAGGACAAAGCATGCTATTGATTAAGCTATTGAATTCTGGTATACTAGTCATGTTTCTAACAATATTATTTCGCGTAAATCAATGTCACCTGAAAATGATGCAGTAAGTAAGGAAACTGATGTTTAAAAAAAACGTAATCAGATAGCAATTTAGTCTTTCATAAAGTATGTATTTAAGAATATAACATGAAACAATTCCAACACATATGAGTCATAATATGAGAAATAAGTCAGAAGCAAAAAATTTATAACGAGTCAAACAGAAGTCTGCTGAAAATAAAATACGAATAATAATCGAACATTGTACTTTAGTGAGAAAAAAAATAGCACAAGAATGAAAATAAACTGCGCATAGCCAAAACTACTTAAAAGGCAGAATACTGACTTCTTAAAGAATGAAAACGAATACAACTTTAACTTCCCAAGGCATAACATGAATGATGAATCAGATAGTTCGCTACACCATCACGAATTTTATATAATACTTTTCAAAATTCCTAGCTCGAATGATCGAAAATGCAGTTCAGACATACTTCAGCAAAAACACGGTCAGTTTTTTGCAACACAATATGCTCTCGAGCTGTATAGACATCTTAATAACCAAAAAACTCACCGATAAGAAACCAATCATTCAATTTTAATAGAAGATGACTTTTTTGTTAGTTCACCAGCACATATACTTATATTTGCTTCCTTATATTAATATGATGAAAACTAATTCCACTGACTAGAAAAAAAAATGTAAACAAAAGTATCACAACAAAAAATTCTTTACTGACCTCAGGCTGATTACTCAAGTTCTAAGTTTATGTTTTGAAACAAGCAGATTATACATGTTCATATCTCTGAACGAACTTAGTGCTACAATTATCAGTTAATAAGTTCAAACTATAATAAAGTTTTATTCCCATGTCAGTCAATTAACCTATAATCTTTTTATAATATTTTAAGTTGTCGTATTGAATGGATAAAAATTAAAGCTACAACGAAATTTACAAAACTATTATTATGAATGGATTACAATGACCCTTAAAAACAATACTGAATCTCTCATACGTTTTCAGCACTTTCTTCATAAGAACATAAGCATCTGTGCGTATATGCACGTAAATACTGAAAAGCTGTACATATGAAAACAAAAAATCTGAGAAAGCATTAAAAATTATGTATCTCAAAGAATCTAGCTTAAACACGCATAAATATTCATTATTTCGCAGAAACTACTGCTTACTGTTAATCATCACATTTCCTTCAATGGAATTCAAATCATACAAATGTGCGTGAAAAGTTTACCAGCTAATTCCCGCAATTTTATTCAATACATAAAGATGACTTGCATAAATGTGCACCATTACTCTCAGCCTAATCCCTATTTTTGACTAAAATCCTTCCAATAGTAGATATATGAATAAACTGTACATTCAGTTACTGATAAGTAGGAAAAAGTACTAGCTAATCTAATATCGAAATAGCAACACCTTACACAACCTCACGCTACTGAAACATGAACCCTAACTGTATCAGATCGAATAGAAATTTTTTTTTACATTTTATCCTACAAAATATACATCCTGCCAGTTTTCGCTTCAAAAGTTTGTTATCTATTTTAGCTCTATATTCTCTTTGTGAATTATTGCGCATTTAAGAAATAAGTGGGTGAGTGGTTGGATTTCGCAATTTTGTTCGTCTGTGTTCCTTAACTTTGTAGGATTTGTATGTTTTATGATATAATTAGTATTTATCACTCTCAGTACTTGCGTGTAATACACAATAAAATCATCAGGGGTCAATATCTAACCTTTTTTTTGACGCATAATCCTGATAGATTGAGTAAACAGCATATTATATCCACCTGCTTTGTACTATCGTTGTATTTTAATATGATTTGAAAGAATTTTTAATTATTCATAATCATAATTGATTACTTTGAATAAATAAACATTGAGTGATAAATTGAGTTGTATCCTTCCGATTCTACTTCGGTACTTACAAATTTAGTTTGATATGAACTTCTTTATCATCGCAACTGTCAAGTATTGATTAAAACAAATGCGTTGAGAGTCTTATCAATCACTCGCTGCTCCCTTTTTATGCTACAAAATATACATTCTCCAAGTTTTCGCTTTGAAATTCAAAAAAGAATCATTTTTTATCCATTATTGATCCATATGAATCATTCACTGAATGTTTGCCGTTACATACCGTAATTAATTGTTATATTTTGTTGCTACATTACTGTTATATTTTGCTACTTTCACTATTGTATTGAAGAATAGTCAGTAAATGTTGATTGTATGAGTGTTTCGTGTTACTTGCAGAATAAATTCTACATCATATTCAAAAGTCTTCTTTAGTAATAGTTATTATTCATGACTGTAATTATTATCAGATGCTGTTTGTTTTTCAAAAAAAAATCAGTGAGTAATTTTGTGTTCTGCACTTTCGTCTATTCAAAAGAAATGAGCAATGATTTTCATTTACTAATGTATTTATCTGTTTCGTTCGTCAGTGCTTCGTTCGCTTACTTTCTCTTCAGTACAAGTATTGTTTAAGAAAGATTTTCTGTCAAAAATGTCATATTAATATAAACTAAAGAGTTTAATTATTTTGTTTGTTTTTATATACTTTTACTATGCTTTAAGTTTATAGCACTTTGAATTTCAGTTTTATTACAAATGCAGTTTAGCTCGAAGGTTATTGCTATGATAATTAGCGTTTATTAAGCAATTTATTATTGTTATTTTTTAATATTTCTTGTTCATAGTTGCACTCTGTTTGATATCAGAGTTGTGTATATCATCTCATTTTCGAAATTTCGGTTTTTTGAATTTAAAAAATTGAGGGATTATATATCTGATAATAATTTGTATGATTCAATTTTTATTATTTGTATAAAAAACTTCATATTTAATTGCATGAAAATCCGCTAAAAATGATACGCTTCGTTAATTTTATTGCAATTGAAAGTGATCTAAAAGCTGTCACTGATGGCATTATTTTCAGTTGAATCGTGAACAATGAGTTATAAGCTGACATATTTCCCTATTCGAGGTAAACTATTTCAGACATATATTTAGTTTAGAATACTCCAGTAAATCATTTAAGAAATTAAAACTGACTGTATTTGTGCTGCTAATATTTTGTCTTATAAATTCTTGAGTAGATTTCAGTTTCGTCCAAGAATGATTAGGAATTTAGTCGAATTTACATTTTTTATTGTAAAAAACAAAACCATCTATCTACCTGTAACTGTCATATACTGTTATGACTGTAATTTCGATATTATTCTTTCATTTTTGCTTAATGCTTACTTAGGTTTGGCTGAACCAATTCGTTTGTTATTTGTTGATCAAGACATTGAATTCACCGATAATCGTATTGATAAAAATGATTGGCCGGCGTTGAAATCTCAGTTTGTAAGCATTGTAGTCTTTGTTTTTAATATTATTCTAATTGCGATGTTAATGTTAAAATACTGTAAGGAACTAGTTTTTTTCTTTAAATTCAGCATTTCGGACAATTACCATGTCTGCATGAAGATGGTGATCAAATTGTCCAATCTGGTGCGATTATGAGACATCTTGCTCGCAAACATGGTATCTCTCATCACTAGTTTTCGATAATCATGGTTTTACCAATATTGATGATGTGCAATCAAAAATAATAGAACGAATCAAATCAACCATTTTGATATAATTTTGATTATATTGCTAAAACTGCATCATTAAATTTATTTCTAACAGTATTGAATTGAAATAATTTTTTATAGGTTTGAATGGTAGAAATGAATCGGAAACAACATACGCCGATATGTTTCTTGAAGGCATCCGAGATCTTCATAAAAAATACACTAATATGATCTACCTAGCTTATGTAAATGTCTTTGAATAACAGTTATAGAGATACTGACTTAGAATTAAAACCCTCTGTACTGATAAATTCCTGCTTATTAATATTCATTATCATTAGAATCTTAGAAACCCTTATTAATAGTCCGGTTCATACAATCATTTATCTTTACATCATATTCTAAGTTCACATTTCAAAAATTCGCAACTGGTGGACCAAAGGAAATTCATTGGAAAGAATTGAACATTAAAGAACTTCAAAAAAGGTTGAAAGTACTCGAGTTTTTAGTCTAGTTTCAATATTCTGCTTCCTCTTCCCATAAAAATAACTTTATAAAATAGGAATTCGTGGTTCTTTTTTTAGGAAACTGAAAAAGATCAGTATATTAGAGATGTGATTCCTGCAGAAATGGCGAAGTTTGATAAACTGCTTGCAGTTCGAGGTGATGGACAAAATTTCATATTAGGAGATAAGGTCTGTTAAGTCTTGTTTAGCTTAGTCTTTATATACCGGTATTTGCTTTTGATAGAGGATTACTGGTAAAGTTAATAATAATATATCGGGTTCATTAAACTTCAGATTTCATACGCAGACTACGCTTTCTTTGAAGAGCTTGACGTTCATTTAATTCTTGATCCGCATTGTTTAGACAAATTTCCACTTTTAAAGGCATATCATGCACGGATGGCAAACAGACCAAAACTTAAGGTTTACTTTCTTATAAGTGAGCTGAAGTGTTTTTGAAATTCGATTTCGTCATTTCAAATTTTTTGTACAAATGTATGGTGAGGAGAGAAATACTTCTATTATTTTTAGAGAAATAAGATGGCATTACCCAGTAAAGCTATTTATTAATGTTCAACTCGACTGCTGTCCAGTTTCATCAAAATCTCATATCCCATTCATTTCAGGCTTATTGCGAAAAACGTAATGCAGCTGGAGTACCAGTGAATGGTAACAATAAACAGTGATCATTACAAGATAGCAACATGGATCATTCTTCTTTATCTTTCCTCAATATTAGCCATAGAATTTGTGTCTTATATTTCTTGTTAAAAAGATAAATTTAGATGAAATCCTGTATTCCTTTTTTTATCTACTATATGGTAATTGCAATGTGCGAAATACTAAAGTCATGCTTTGTTGCTTAGTTATAATGATAAAATGTAGCATATCTAATACTGAGATTTTTCATAGCAGCACACTTTTACATTGAAGGTCAAATGTATTTAATAATTGCTAACCAACATTGAAATGAGAACGAGATGTGGCGATTATTTCAATTTAAGCCCAGGAAGGAATGGTGGAATTTTTTATAAAGCATTCGTAGACTTCATTTTGGATGGGGAACTATGCGGAGATAGCGTCTTGCTGATGGTAGCTCGACTGTAGTTATTTTCTCACCAAAGATTTTTTTTGCTTCAGCGTCATCAAGCGTTGGTATCACAACGCAGTCATCACCATCCTGTTTTTCAGAGAATTAAATATTTAAGAAAACATACTCCAATGTCATTAAAAACAAGCAGTATTTGAAAAGTAGGAAAGTAGCAAGACGGTTGGAACTTCTGTTCATTATTAACTTTCCCTAGCTACTCTACCATTTAAACCGTATATATACAGAAATAAGAAGCATTCTTGTTTGCACTGTTTAGACAAAGACAAGGAGAAGGAAATAGAGTGTAACTTTTATTGAAAAGGTTGGTTCTTGTATTCAAGAAAGATTCCTACCTTCCAATCGACAGGTGTCGCAACTTGCTTGACTGCTGTAAGTTGTAGTGAGTCAATAACACGTAGAATCTCGCTGAAAGGAAGAATGTCATCTAAAGAGAAAAACATCTCAATTAGACAAATTCCTGAACAGCGTGAAGTACTCAGGGAAAGTTCTGACATTGCAATATGACTGCAGCTCACAATGATATCAAATCCTGATCCTTGTTTCTATTAAATTCTACTCATCATCACTCAGCCTTTCGATACCTTTCTAGAGATCGCGAAAATTATCCTACGTTCACTTTTTACTTTTTTTTAATAATTTTAAGCTAAAACTAAACTTCAAAAAAATTTTGAGGGTCAGTTTTAATAAGTATCAGGATCGCACTACATATCTTGGGAATCTCACCTAAAAAATATTCTTAGTTGAAATAGAGAAATTAATATTCACTCCTTTAAGATGACTCACCCGTTTCTTACCACTTCGATCTATTTTATCATTTAAAGGACAAACATACTTGAAATTTCGTCCTGTTGTTGCAGGATACAAAATCGACAGTTTCAATGTTTTCTCAGGTCCAATTATAAACAGCTGTAAAAGATAGTTTGTACAAGTGTCATTTTTCGATCACATTAATATAAATAGAGAATCAAATTTTTTCAGTGAATGACGGAGAGTTAAAAAATAAGGTGAACAATTAGTGGACAAAAACTACTAGTTAGGAATAACTTTTTATTTACACTTCAATTTGAAAATACTTCATAACTTTCAATAAGTGGTATCAGTCTATTCAATAAATTTAATGACAAAAATCTTGATTATAACAGTCAATTATTAAGAAACAATGAAAATTTCTAAGCTAACACAACGAGCAGTGAGGGCAGCACCCGTTTCATCTCGTTCTTCTGGATCCATCATACCTAATTTTGTAGCAATGCAACGATTTTCATCAGCTATGATCGGAAATGGAAGTTTATCTAAAAATGATGTGTAAATATTTAATTATTATGTTAGACAGCCTTAAGAGGAACATAAAATATGGTTTCATAACTAGGTTGTGAATTAAAATCATAAACTTCGCATGATCTTCAGCTATAGTTTCGTTATCATGACAAAAAAATGATTAAAAAAAACTGAAGTAACCTGCGCAACAGTCGCCGCCACCACCATTTTCCAATTTACGTAGAGCAATAATATCATTAATCCATTTACGGTGTGATTCAGCAGAATCGCAACTTAGGCCAATTAATTTTACATTCCGTTTTTTGAATTCTGGTGCTAACTGAGCCAGCCGTGCACATTCCGTGGTACAGACTGGCGTGAAATCTCGAGGATGAGAAAAAAGTATTGCCCAACTGCTAAAACTTTGAATGCTGAATGGTGAAATAAATTTTTCACCAACTAGATAATTATCAAAAAATTTAAGATTTACTTATGAAAATGTTTGAAAACCGTTCAAAATATGAATGAGGAATTTCCCAACATAGATATATTTTGATATTATTTAACTCCTGGTACAAAAGACTTTATAAATAAACATTACACTATCAAAATTACGATTGTTCTAAACCTAACAAATGACTCGAAAACAACTATCTTGCGCCACCTATAAAGTACTTCCGATACAAACATGAATTTTTGTTTTTCCTTTGGCAAAGTTTTGGTGTTTTTTGCTGAATACTTACTCTTTACCAATCCAATCATGAAAACTCGGAATATGGCCCTCATTGGTCTCAGCTTCAAAATTTGGAAATACGTCTCCCAGCAAGATGCCTTTTGACATTGCCAATCTATTCTAAAAGACACAAGTACAAGCATAAGTTACAATGTCGTAAGAAGAAATCCTAGTGGTAAAGATTTATAGGCAACAAAAAAGACTAATTTACCACCAGCTACTGTAAACGCCTACTTAGAAAAATGTGGGACAAGTTCTACAGGGGAAATCCAAATAAAAATTGATAGATGAGGAAATTCAGTATCTAAATTGAACATTAGCTATAAAAGTGAATACCTATTAAAAGACCCAATGAAGTAAAGAAGAGTCGATTATTTTTGTGAGGAAAAAGAAAACCCTTAGAATTCTTCTGTAAAATTAATCACAAAATCACAAATTAA